CACCGAGTCTTCTTCATGCAAGAGCCATAAACACGATTTTGCTCGAATCCAGTCCATGCCATTCATAGATCTGGGCTCCTAGAGCATGAATAACACGTAAAGTTTCCAACTTTACGTGTAAATATCCATCCATGAGGGTTTTAGGGTTCAAAATGCACCAAAAGAGTAGATCTAAGGTTTTCACGCAACATGGGTCCATAAAGGTAGTAGATCTGAGCTCCTGGAGCTTAACCACGCCTAGATCTAGAGGTTACTCAACTTATTACGAACCCCCAAACATACACAAGCTTGGAAATGGTTCAAGAAAGACTTTAATGGAGCTATAAGGGACTATAAGCATGAAGACAAAGGGAAAATCGAGTCATACCTTAGGGAACACACTGAGAAAGCTCAAAGATGCTTGATCTCCTTGTCTTCTTCTTGATCTACTCTTTTCCCACTCCAAAACTTCAAGAGAGCACACCAAATGCTTCAAACACACAAAGAAACAACTCTTGAACAAGGTATAGGGCTCTGAGGGTGAATGGGGGCGAGATTGGGGCGGAATGAGAGTTTAAATAGGGTGTAAACCCTTGAAACCTAGGGTTTCATCCAACAACGGTGACTCGCCGAGTCCAGGATATGGACTCGCCGAGTCGCCAACTTAAAACGTTTCCCGGGTCCCGACTCTACTCGGCGAGTCGGACCTATGACTCGCCGAGTCCAAGGCTAAAAATGGAAAACACTCAAATAAGATTTACATACCAGGAACCAGGTGCTACACATTGCTTATGCTTCGAGGCAACTGAAGCCTCACGAGGCGAACTACCCGACATACGATTTACAGTTGGGGGCGGTTGTCTTCGCCCTCAAGATTTGGCGGCATTACCTCTATGGAGTCCGGTGTACCATTTACACGGACCACAAGAGTTTGAGGTACCTCATGGATCAGCCGAATCTTAACATGAGGCAGCATCGGTGGTTGGACATGGTGAAGGATTATGATTCTGAGATCCTTTATCACCCAGGGAAGGCCAATGTGGTGGCCGATGCACTAAGCCGCAAGGCAATGCCGATCAGAGGCGTATGCATGAAGATGACAGTGGTGACTCCGTTGTTAGAGAATATTTGGGAGGCTCAGCAGGAGGCTATGAAGAAGGAACATCGGAAGAGCGAGTGTATAGTGGGTCAGGTTTCCTCCTTCGATTTTGATAGCCGAGGGTTATTGACACTACACCGCAGGGTGTGGGTGCCATATCTCGGGGGTGTGCGCCAAGTTCTGATGGAGGAGGCACACAAATCTCGATTCTCCATTCATCCCGGGGCGACGGATATGTATAGAGATCTTCATCTAGACTATTAGTGGCCTTGCATGAAACGGGATGTAGCTTGGTACGTTGAGCGGTGCTTGACCTGCAGGAAGGTCAAGGCCGAGCACCAGAGGCCACATGGTAAGATGCAGCCGTTGGATATTCTGCTGTGGAAATGGGAGGACATCACGATGGATTTTATCACCAAGCTTCCCAGAACCGAATGGGGAGTGGATTCTATATGGGTCATCATGGATCGGTTGACCAAGAGCGCCCACTTCATACCGATCCAGGAGAGTATTTCAGCAGAAAGGTTGGCCGATATCTACATTCGAGAGGTGGTGGCATGGCACGGAGTGACAGTCTCTGTGATTTCAGACAGAGATGTACGGTTTAACTCCAGGTTTGGGAAGAAGTTCCATGACGAGCTGGGTACTCGTCTGCATTTTAGCAATGCTTTTCACCCGCAGACGGATGGTCAGATTGAGCGGACCATCTAAACTCTGGAGGATATGTTACGGGCGTGTGTGCTAGACTTCGGTGGTAGCTGGGATACTTATCTCCCTTTGGCTGAGTTCTCATACAACAACATCTACCACACGAGTATTGACCGTCCTCCCTTCAAGATGTTGTACGGGAGGAGGTGCAGGACCCCGATATGTTAGGGTGAAGTTGGCCAGAGGGTCATGGGGAGCACCAAAGTGGTGCTCAAGACGACCGAGAGGATTCAACAGGTTCGGAGTAGGATTCAGACTGCACAGATTCGGCAGAAAAGTTATGCCGACAAGCGCCGTTCAGACCTAGAGTTCCAGGTCGGGGATATGGTTCTTCTGAAGGTGTCTCCTTGGAAAGGTATCATCCGATTCAGGAAGCGGGGCAAGTTGGGCCCAAGGTACATTGGACCATTCAGGGTTGTAGCCTGGGTGGGAAAGGTAGCGTACAAGCTGGATCTGCCAGCCGAACTCAGTCAGATCCACAACACTTTCCATGTCTCCTAGCTGCGGAAGTGCCTGGTAGATGACTCGTCGGTGGTACCCCTATAGGATATTCAGGTTGATGACAACCTAAATTACATTCAGAGGCCAGTGGCAATCCTCGACCGGAAGTCGAAGGATTTGAGGAACAAGAGGGTGGAGCTCGTGAAGGTGCAATGGCAGCACCGGAAGGGATCGGAGTGGACTTCGGAGCCGGTGGAAGAGATGATGGAGCACTACCCCGAGCTATTTCAGGAACGAGCAACAGACTTCGAGGATGAAGTATAAAATAAGTGGGAGGAGATTTGTAGCACTTGGTTCTTGGTACGTATTCTTTTTAATTAACTCTTTAAATATTTGCATTTTTGGCCTTGGACTCGACGAGTTGAAGGACCAAATCGCTGAGTAGAAGCGGGATAAGACGCAGGGTCTAAGCTGTAGACTCGGCGAGTCGGTTCCCGGACTCGGCGAGTAGACCCTGTCTGGACAAAAACCTTAATATGAAGGTTTGCATCCTATTTAAACACTTTAACCCGGCCTCCTTCGTCCCATTTACTCCTAGAGGACCCCCATAGCAAACCCTAGCCGTTGTTGAAGCAAACTAGAGCATTTGAAGTGAGTTTGGTGTTCTTGTGATCCAAGAGAAGCTTGAAGGAGAAAGAAAGGACTAAAGGGGATCCGAATTTATGCATCATTTGCAGCCCATTCAAGGTAAAAAGTTTGTACCTTGTTCTTCCAAATGCTAGATCCCATTTTGTGTAGTTTTAGGGCTTTATGAGCCATTTTAGCTAGCCAACCATGAATGCAAGCATGGTTGGGGATGAGGGTACGGATCGAGGACCCTTGAGAGGTCACAAAGCAGAAAGGGGGTGCTCTTTCACCCAAGAAAGGCTCCATGCAACTTAAGGGATTGTTTTAGGACCTTTTGAGCTTAAAGTCCCATGCAAGCACGTAAAGGTTGTAACTTTACGTGCTAGAACGGTCCTAGGAGCATAGATCTATCCTATGATCAAGAGTTGTACATCAGAAATCAAAGATCTAGTGAGAATATGCGACAGACTCGGCAAGTCCATCCTTGGACTCGGCGAGTCCAAGATTAAGTCCCAAATCAGTTAAGGGTCAAAAGGACCTAGTTGAGTATGGAAAGGTTTTAGGGAGTCTCGGGGAGTGACCGAATGTTCTGGACTAAGCCATTGTTTGGGATATTTATGGGACTCGGCGAGTCCAAGGCAATCTTCATATGGATGAAGATGAATTCGAGGAGTTGTTCATACAAATCGCCGAGTCAAAGACAGGACCTGTTTATCAGTTGAAGATGAACTCGACGAGTTGTTCATACAACTCAACGAGTAGAGATTGGTATAAGGACAAATGGAAGGATAAGGACTCGGCGAGTTGGCGAGCCAACTTGGCGAGTCAGGTCAAGTGGTAGTTGACTTTGACTTTGACTTGGTCGGGGGTAAGATGGTCATTTTACCCCAAGGATAGTTAGTAGGGTTTGATTGAGTGTTTGTGGGAATTATAGCTGGAGGATTTCCGGAGCAACAGCAGCAGATAGTTAGTTCTCGCGCAGATCATCAGCTACTTCGAGGTGAGTTACCTTCCAGTAGCGGTGGGTCTACGACCACAATGTCGGCCCATTAGTAGGAGTTGTATGATTAGATGATTGTCTGTGTGATATTCATCTAGGTTTTCTACTACCTGATATGTCTACGTGCTAGTATGATATGATGCTATGTGCTAGGGACAGTAGGGGAGATAGTCCCCAGTATCCGGTCGAGAGGACCGAAGGGGAGACCAGCACCCAGATATGCTAGTCAGCATCCGGTCGAGATGACCAAAGGGGTAGGTCGAGCACCCAGATATGCCTGACAATATATGTATGTTATGTGGTACGATGGGGGAACTCACTAATCTTCGTGCTTACAGTTTTCAGTTTTGGTTTCAGGTACCTCTTCATCAAAGGGGAAGGAGTCGGCGCGGTAGCGGCACATCATACACATACACTGTCTCCGCTTTACAAACTTGTTCTGGGATATGTACTATGATATTTTGTTGTTTTCATATTTTGGTTTCAGACACGATGTATGTTATGAAATGGCTTGATCAGACAATGTTTTATTTACAAATGTTTTCCAAAGTATTGATTTAAAAACGAAAATTTTGGACGTGAAATTGAGTCGTTACACCTAATATGAAATTTACAAACATGGTTCCCATATTTCACAAAAATTATAGAAAGAGACCTTACGTAAGAGACAATTACATACATAATGTCGAAAATATAAGATTAATAGACCCGTGACAATGTACAGGCCATCTCAATAGTTACTTATTAAATATCGACGAAGGAGAGGAACCCCAGAACCAATCTAGATTGGAATAATGACCCCAATTTTTTACTCAAGATTCTACTTCTTCTTTGACATTTTCTTGTTTAAAAATATCTTTGAACAAAAAGTTGAAATACAAATCTTCATGAGCATAAATCTGTACAACATGAACAAGAGTATGGAACGAGTTGATCATTTTATGCATGGAATAACATATAGGCCTATATGTAAACTTTTATAAATCTAGTTACAAGCACTTATAGGCTTTCAAATAATTGTGATGATTTTTGAATTGTCGCTCATCTTTTTTTCAAATTAGTTAACATTCTCCTAAATACCACTTACGAGAGACTTGAACCCATGAGAGTCTGAAAGAGTCACTTTTTACCGATAAATCAAATGCCCTTTGGTAATTATTAGCATCTCATTAAATTATCCGCCATACAATATTAAATATGCATGGTACAATCTACAGAATTATAATAAAAGTTCTAAAATTAACATCACGAATTGATATAATACAACAAGTTAAGGGAACAATCATCGAGAGAGAAAGCTATGCAGCAAATTAAAGGAGCATTCGACATTAGTTTTTTAATGAGAATCAACCGGATGAGGTATTTTATATATGCATTTTAATGGAATTTAATTTCCTACGCTTTTAGAAACCAAACCTAGCTAGGAACGCCAAAATTCGACAAACAAAACGCCATCTTAGGATATTCATGTAGACGACTCTGGTAACGGATTCTGGCGTTCATCTTCCGAGTCTCTAATTGACTCATGTAACACATCAACTATCTCATTCATCGTTGGTCGATCTTCCGGATTATTTCGCATGCAACTGTCAGCCAATTTTGCAACTTTTCGGGCCCCACTAAGAGAATATTGATTATCTGCTAGACGTGGATCAATCATCTTCCAGAATATCTTGCTATCGGCTGGGAACTGTTTCACCCAGTTGGTAAGCATTTGTTGAGATTGTGGAAGGTTTCTATCAATAACCCTTCTGCCCGATAAAACCTCGTAAAGTACAATTCCAAAACTCCATGAATCGCTATTTGACTTTAGATGACCACAGTGCACGTATTCCGGGGAAGCATAAAAAGACTGGAGTGGAAACCAAAGCAAATTAGAATAATCATACAGTTGGATGAACTAAAACGATATGGTTATAGAATTAATAAGTCATTATATTTCATAATCATGATTGGCATGGTTAGAACAGATGGAAATACAAAATCATAAAATCATAAAATCAAAAAGTCATTATAGAACTTTATATTTACAAAACTGAAAATAAATATAACCAAACCTAGTTTAAATCTAAATAAAATTAAAAATAATACTCTTTGTAGTAGATTTTAAAAAATAAATTTTTAATTAAGTGAAAATAACAAAAGTTAAGTGTATAAAAAAAATAAACACCCACTACCTCATTAATGAAATCAACAAAATGGAACATGTTAGATCCATTGGTAAAACAAAAATGGAAATGATCATTGCATTTCTTTTCTGAATATTCCATATTAAGAAATACTACCTAAGGGTTTAGTCATTTAGCCATATGATAGACATATGATTTGAAACACTCACCACTGTACGTACGTACGACAGGTTGCGTACTTGTCCTCTCTCAAGCCCAAAATCTGAAAGTTTTGGGTTGAAATTCTCATCCAACAACACATCCCCCGAGTTGAAGTCACCAAATAGCACCTTAATCACAAAAACATTAGTGTATAGTTTAATTAATATGTCATAAAATAGTTACTTTGAACAATTAGGAAAACATTTTGTAAAACATATGTATACCTGGGTCTCTAAACCCTCATGGAGATAGGCGAGACCCTGGGCTGAACCAAGGAGGATTTGTAGCCTTTTCATCCATGGAATTGGTGGCGATGCTGTGTTAAAGAGATGATAATTTAAGCTTTTGTTTGGCATATACTCGTAAACTAATAGTCTTTGACTTTGTCTCTCTTTTTCATCGTCTACTAAACAGTATCCCAATAGCTTTACAAGGTTAGGGTGTTCCACAACACCAAGAAACTCAACTCCTGATAGCCATTCTTTATGCTCCTGCACATCACAAAACAATACTTTTTTACGTAAAATGTTGGATTTATACTCCAATAAAATAGCTTTGTTTTTGTTGTTGTTCCCAACACTCTGATCTTGATCTAACTACAAAGTTTAAGCAAGTGTGTTATAAATCTTGAAGTTGAGAAGCCAGTATATATATGGGCTCTAAATTCATGATGTTAAGAATTGACCGATAAGATGCATGTAATACAACTAAATTTATAACTAAACAATGGATTCCCACATCCCTAACGTATCAGAAAGATTAATCAAATAATTATTAAAGAAAATATTTTTGAGAATTTTAATGGAAGACCTGCATGGAATGATTGTAAAGTTTTGTGATGGCCACCAACAAGAGATGTGCACCTTGATCATCAGCAGGTTTAACAGGTTGAATAAACCCTTTATACACATTTCCGAATTGACCATTTTTTATCCATAGCGATCTGTTAAAATTATTAGTAGCATTTTTGAGCTCTGAAAACGAGAACTTCCTCAAAACATGTCCTTCTTCTTTGTACAATAGTGGTGAAGTGATTGAACCAGTGGAATTTACTAATCTTGTCGGTGGTTTGGTTGATGGGTTTTGCTCCTGGAGCTCCGGTGATGATTTCCCTTTTCTTTTGGTTCTGGAACTGAAAATACTGAAACACTTCATCTTTGGGAAGAAGCCAAGAACCCTAAACGGTGAAGTGAGAAAACTGGGATGAAATTAGGGGATATCAGAAAGATTAATTAGCAACGGAGCCAGGTGGGGAAGAAGATGATAGAATGGTGTGGCTTCTTTGTATGTTGAGAACAAAGATGTGGATGATGATGAGAACGGGAGTGAAATAGCTTTGATTTCAAATCTTCATACGGAATTTTATGAACAATTCAAAGGAAACTTCATATGGATATATGCCAAACTACCCATTTCTGGTAACAACGTAACATGTTTTGCTTTCAGATGTTCCTCCCTTTTGAGATACTACAGTTTCATAAACCATTTTGATCAATAGTCATATATTTAAAACGTAATCTATTAAGATAACTAGATTATGACTGCATAAAAAAACATAGAAACGTCTACAGATATTCCATAAGGGAACGATTAAGAACGATTAAATATATGTGAACGATTAAGAACGTTAATGTTGTTAAGCGAACCAAGAGAACCAAAAAGAATTGCCAAATACACAGTTCTTATGATGTCACTGCTTCAAGTATGATCGTTGGATGACCATGATCACCTCGGGAAAATTGCATTGACTATGGTGTGATGTAAGGCAATTTTCTCATGTCCAATGTAGACAATCTAAATTTCCTAACATTCCAGGAAATTCATATACGTTAGCATGATGAGAATGCAATTTGATGATGCCATTACGTATAGGCTTATATAAATATTTTGGCCCATAAAGCTGAATAATAGTTTTTCAATAATAATGGAGATTATCTCGTGCAATCCTAGCGGACATCTTAAAACTCTCGTCCAACGCATCAGACATGATGCTATATTCTAATTGACGAAGTGCAACTGTGCATTTTTGTAAATGAGTGAAACTGAGTGTACCTTTAGCATCAGGATGTTGTTGGAAAAAATACACCCTCGTTAGATCTTCAACTATACGTTCGCACAAAGGTTTGAACATTCTGCACGCCTTCGGAAATAGTACCCTTGAAAAGTAGCTGTCTTTTGAAAGTAGTCTTGTATCAAGCGTTGGTTTATTTTCTTCATAATTTCTATAAATATATCTTCGAGTTCTCCGTTCAGCACTTCCGACTATGCTACTCCATGCAGCTTCATACGTTTACTCCGCCAATTTAGCAGTTGCGACAACAACATCAAACTTAACAGCAAAGTCTTCAGAAGAATCGAACGATGACATTTTTTAATTTTTTTTGATTGGAAATGTAGTAGAAAGATTAATTAAAAAAAAAAAAAAAAAAAAAAAAAAAAAAAAAAAAAAAAGAGTAAAGGTTTGAGGTTTAAATAGGATTGCTAAAAGGTTAAAAAGGAAAGAAAAAGAAACATTTTTTTTTAATTCTAATCGTTCAACGGTCAATTGGAATGAAAATTGAAAGAAATGAACGCTCCCTTAGGGTACCATAGTGTGGCCTCCACCACACCCCTACCGTGGTGGAGGGGCGGTGTTTGTGATGATGTAGCGGGGGTGGTGTGGCCTCTGTCGTAGCCACACCCTTTGGCCTTATCGTTAAGTAGTCAAAATCGGTTGATGGTTTAATACATAACACAAATTCTCGAGTGTTTGAATGTGTAATACTGTAAAAGGAAAATTCAATTTTCAAAACATTTTCATTTATACTTGAGTTTATATCATTTAAGTTAGTCAATGATCAGACTAAATAGTACATGAATGCTGGTGATATTAGTATCATATCATCTAATGTGATCGACATTGCTCCCCATGATGGGAGCGTAATAATTGGGATACAAAATTTCATAGGGAAGTTCAATGTTCAAACCTTGTGCTAAGAACAGTTGGATTGCTTCTAATATAGCATGAGAAACAATATCACACTTCTTGAGCTTGATAATCCTTCTAAATTGTCTTAAATCTAGTTTAATATGTTTTTGTAAAAAAAAAAAAAAAAAAAAAAAAAAAAAAAAAAAAACTGGTTATATCTTGGTTAAAACTGATTTTGAAAAAACATGAAATTGTTATAAGTTTGTTTTTAACACATCGTATAAAACATAAATCAAAATGTCAAATAATCATAAAAGATGTTCCAAAACTAAATTTAAAAATTAAAACATATCAAAATAAGTAGTTTATGTTTATTAGCAATTACAGTTGCCTCAAATTTACCCATCATATAATCGACAACATGGCATGTGTAGACTTTAGCGTGAGTTGAACTAAAAAATATGTGTGCTATAGTTGTTTCTTAATTTATGTCAAGTGAAAGAACCTGAATTGCAAGCACACGTCTAATAACTTCAATTATACGGTATAAAAAGTAAAATAAAAGAACAAAAATGTACAAATTTAGATCTTACGTCTCATCATCATTCTTCACAGTTAAAAATGAAATCACAGAGAATATTCAAGGTCATTTTCTTTTGTCTTGGAACTTGGGTATTCTTTAATGAACTCTTAATTCAACGAATATCCTAACGATTCACAAATCACTTTGAATTAAACTACAAACCAACCATATGGGGTAATTAATTTTTCACATTTTGATGATGATTTTTTGGTATAAATGAATCTTCAAAGCACGTACACTCATTTCCAATACTTTGGACTCGAGTATTCCATCAAGGTGCATCATATCTATGTGACCATTTGATTTAGATATAAAAAGGGGCAAATCGTTTGCCAACAATTGCTCAAAGTCATTTTGTCTCGATTCCTGATGTAACTCAAATTCTTTAAGGGTTTATTTGTTTGTGTACTACGTACATGATAGCCTAGCTTTGATATGTGTTTATGTAAATGATATACTAATGTAATTAGTTTAGTAAAATAGGCACATGCATTTTACAATTTAACATAAAAGAGCTCAAGACACTGAAAAATCTACTACATAAATCAAAATTAATAGCGCCAAGGAATCCAATTTTATAACAGTTAAGCATTGAGACGAAAAAGAAAAAAAAAACGGATAACATTTTTGGTAAAAAGTTTGACAGCTAATGAAGTGGATAAAAGAATTAAAACTTATTAAGTGGTGTTGTCACAAGAGAGTAAAAAAATAAACTGTCCTTCCTACTACATTGTTGATGTTATGATGCTACTCCATTGGTAATAAAGATGGAATGGAGTCTGCAAGCAAATTAGTGACTTGATTTAGTTGTTTGTTTATTTACTATTATCATCAATCACTCGTTAACAACTCCAGCAATCACCCACAAATCAGAAGCTACTCAAGTAGAGGTAGAAACAAGTTGCAGAAATTAAGCAATTTTAACTCCTGGATTAATAAATGCGATTAATTTGGTTTATAAAAAATGATAAACTTTGGTATTTTTTTCCCCAAAATGTATATACCCCTTAAAACTAATAAATCAACACCATTCAATTCAATGAATAAAGCGTAAAGAAATTTGTAGTTCTATAATGATGTGGATATCTATTTATAAGCATCAAAAAAGTTACAAATATCAGTACTTTTGACTGCAAGTTACATAAAAAGTGAATATAGTAGTGGTTTGTGTGAAAAGTCTAAACTAACCTTACCTTATATAAACAAGACTTGATGGATTTGAGGATGAGAAGAAATGAGAATCATTCATACTTCATATTTGTTGACCATGTTCTTCACCAGTCAAGGGCTGAGATTCACCATCTGCAATAAATTCAACCATCATTAATTTAAGCTTGTAAGAACATCACAAATTATAAAATTATAAAATTGTAAAATACAATGACCAAGGTTTGGATTTGGAATTGAATTGGCAGTGTCTTCAGCTGTTGTTGATGGATTCAGTTTGTTAACTTCTAAAGATGATTTTACCCCTCCTGCAACCTGCATATTAGTTGCACAAAACAAGATCATATCTCATACATACACTTTGAGTAATTAATTTATTATGTTAAACATACAAATTAAAGAAATAATTATTAGAATTACAAAAATAACCTCATGAGGTGGAGAAATGTGTATGATGTTCAGGTTCAGGACTTTTTGTGGTATCATGCTCAATTCCCTTTTTTACACTCTCAACTGCATCTCTTTTCCTAATATTTTTTTTTTAAAAAAAATCAAATTTTATTATTAAGTCATCAAATATAGGTTTATTAAAGAGATTTACAACCTTCTTAAATCATCAACAATTGTTTTCTTGATGTTGTTTGAGAATAAAACTTCGGCTTCCCATCTATAACTGTCTCAATTGTATAACAATTTGTAATGTTTTTTTGTTACTTTTGCTTGAAATGTTCTCTTCCCTTGTGGATTATGATACTCATTCAAATACACATTCTGTCTATCTGCAAATCAAAAAAGTCAAAATGTCAACACATAATCAGAAAAAGTCAAAATTAAAAAAAAAAAAAAAACAAAAAAAACTCATACTTGGTGGAAACTGGATATGACTTGGCATTTCCATTGGGTATCGGTATCGCACACTGGAGTCAAAGTCAAACCTTGATGTTCTTAACTTCTCAATCTCAACTGTTTTCTCAAAGATAACTTCTCCAGTTTTCTTTCATCTCTTCTGTTTTCAGTTACAATCCCTAAAATCAAAATCAGTTAGCATAAATGTATAATCAGTAATGTAAGGTAATTGATTCATTGTGAAATTCACTTCAAGGATTGATTAAATTAAACCTGTGAATAGGTAGAACATGTCATCAAGTTCTTCAAGTTTCTTATTGCATCCACCTATGAATATAAGAGCACCTCCATGTTGTGGATGTAAAGTGCTTCCAGCCATTGAAAATCTTGCAGAAGGCCCTTCTCTTATTGTCATAACTTTAGTCCATGTAAAAGTTTATGCACAAATGTTGGAAATATCAAGATATAACATATCATAAAATAAAAAATAAAAAACTTGATACTAAGGGTTGAAATTAATCAAGCAAATTTGGAATGCGTTCAATCAATAGTGATTTATTTTTCTTTAGGATGACATCATCAGAATAATGCAAAAAGATCTAAGGGTTGAAATTAATCAAGAAAATACAATGAATGGTTCTGATTATTGAAAGTGATGTCATCAAGTTTCTCTTTTAATAATATTTAGAGAATTGTGAAAATGGTTGAAAGTTATGATTTCAACCGGCTAAAATACAAAGTAACGTAAATATGATTTTTCTTAGAAATCAAGGGTTTTGAAACAAATAAAAATAAATTCATATATATATTTCAAAGGCCATATTTGCTTTGTTTCAAATGTATCTTTTATTATACTATAAAAACTAATAAATGTCGATAAAAAAATATAAGATAGTAAAAGAAATTGTAGGGGCTTTTTTGTATTTCAAAATAAAGATTAAGAGTTCACAAGAAACCCCAATAAAGATGAAATGTTAACTAGCAATTC